ACCCAAATGGAATTGTCTCCATGTGCTATGCTATGTGCATACAGGTTTGGGTTTCCAGTAGAGCTGGGATTTGTGTGCTGCAGTCCATAGGATAGGTATTTCCTAAAAGATTGATATGCTTAGTGATGTGGACTGTACTCATCACAGAAAGTGAATGATCTAATGACTCAAGTTCAGGAGAGATGAATGCGATTGTAAAATCAGGTGAGGGGTAGTGAGGGATTTGGAGCTGGAGGATCAGGCTCCAATCAGAAGGTCCTTTAAACTGCAGCTGTACTGTGACTTCTTCCTGACTCTTTGGTGCTCAACATGGTATTAAACCCCATGGATGTATGGTTGATGAACTCATTAATTTTCTGATTGCCTCTCATTTTTTAATTTTCCTTTCATTTTTTTAGTCCTAAGCAGAGATTGACTGTGAAATCATCTGTAAGACTGAATCAATTCCTGTGCCTCATTTTTGTTGGGAGAAGACACTTGCTACAGTGCATCTCAGCTGGGCTTCGCTTCTCACCTCGTTACACACTGTGTTTTCCTAACACTCTGTGTTTTAGTGTTTAACCATCATCAACTATTTCTCTTTTCTCTTATTCCTGTTTTGGTGTGCTTTTCATGATTACTTACTCTCTTTTTCTGATCTTGTTCCAGCTTAACATTTAAATGGTTCTAAATTCTCTTTCTCTCTCTTTATCTTTCCTCTCTTCTGAAGTTTCCTGGAGCTTCCCCTACCCCAAATATCTCTTTCCTTTCCTTCACTTTTGTTTTTGTCTCTTCCTGTTGGTTGTAAATGCCACTGCCATTTGTTTAAATGCTGCTGCCTTGCTGTGTTCAGGGGTTGTCATACAGCATTTTAGAAATACTTCCCCTTTATAATACACCATTTACTTGTTACCATTGGTATAGATGGAATGCTCATTACAAAAATCAAAATGTAGAGGAGTCAGTCGTCCATTTTGAACATTGTGAAATGTTTTTTTTTTTCATTGCTATTAGCAGTTTGGGCAGTTCTTGTCCTGGTTTGAGGTTGAACTGGAAGTGTTATCACAGAATCTAATGAAGAAAAATTGTTACCTTTGAATTTTGAAAAAATAAAGCAAAAAAGACACAGTTATTTTCAATGGAATATACTTTTTTCAAAAACAAGTCCAGTCTGACAAGTTTTTCTCTTATTTATCTTTTTAATCACAGAATGGTAGGGGTTGGAAGGCACCTTTGGAGATCATCTAGTCCAAATCCCTGCCAAAGCAGGGTCACTGAGAGCAGGTTGGACAGGACCGCATCCAGGAGGGTTTTGAATATCTCCAGAGTGGGAGACTCCACAACTTCTCTGGGCAGCCTGTTCCAGTGCTCTGTCATCCTCAAAGTAAAGAATTTTTCCTCATGTTCAGATGGAGTTTCCTGTTTTCCAGTTTGTGCCCGTTGTCCCTTGTCCTGTCACTGGGTACCATTGAAAAGAGTCTGGTCGCGTCCTCCTCACACCCGCCCTTTCAATATTTACAAGCATTGATGAGATCCCCTCTCAGTCTTCTCCAGGCTAAACAGACCCAGGTCTCTCAGTCTTTCCTCGTAAGAGAGGTGCTTCATTCCCTTGATCATTTTCATAGCCATCCGCTAGACTCTCTCCAGCAGTTCGCTGTCCTTCTTGAACTGGTGAGCCCAGAACTGGACGCAGTACTCCAGATGTGGCCTCAGAAGGGCAGAGTAGAGGGGGAGGATGACCTCCCTCAACCTGCTGGCCACACTCTTTTTAGTGCACCCTGGGATACAGTGTGTCCTCTTGGGCCATAAGTTCACATTGCTGGCTCATGGTCAGCTTGTTGTCCATCAGGACTCCCAGGTCTCTCTCTGCAGAGCTGTTTTCCAGCAGGTCAATCCCTAAATTGTACTGGTGCTTGCGGTTATTCCTCCCTAGGAGCAGGACCCTACTCTTGCCCTTGTTGAACTTCATTAGGTTCCTCTCCGCCCAACTCTCTAGCTTGTCCAGGTCTCACTGTGTGACAGCACAGCCTCCTGGTGTGTCAGCCGCTCCTCCCACTTTTGTGTCATCAGCAAACTTGCTGAGGGTGCACTCTGTCCCCTCATCCAGGTCATTGATGAATATGTTGAACGAGACCGGACTAAGTACTGACTGCTGGGGAACACCGCTAGTTACAGGCCTCCGACTGGACTCTGTGGCACTGATCACAACCCTCTGAGCTCTGCCATTCAGCCAGTTCTTGATCCACCTCAGTGTCCGCTCATCTAACCCACACTTCCTAAGCTTACTTATGAGGATGTTATGGGAGACAGTGTCAAAAGCCTTGCTTAATGGCCAACTAAAATATTTGCAAGGGAAGATTGAACTCAAAAGATTACTGATAGAAGGGATTTTCTAGGTTCTGAAAAAATATATAATGGGTACTATATATACCGTTTGTAATTTTGTGGGAGCACCTGCCCTTGCTGATCTATCATGTGCAAAACAACTATGCAATTTTCCGTGGTCGTACTGGTTACGTCAAGTTTGAGGTGTTGGTGTGGTGTGAGGCAAGGCCTCCATCTGTACAACATGTTTTTTCACTTGTTGGTAATTAGTAGCAAAGCACTTCAGGAAGCAACTTGGCTCTCTCTGCCGGAGGGATATATATATCTCTCTGCAGGTTTAGTGTTTGCCTTAAACAACCTGTCAAGTGTTTTGGCTGTAGGGAGACTCGGAGTCTTAGGAAAACATGCTATATTAAGGCTCTGTGGGGTTTTGTTTATAGGGCTTCTGGAACATTTCAGACTCCAAAACCCAACTATTCTCCCTGCCTGTTTTGCTGAAAATAATGTTGATTAGATTTGATTTTGAGTCTCTCTCAACTTAGTATAAGGCAGCTTCCCTAGAAAAATGGCTCCTGGTGACTGCCAGCAGGTCCCTGGGGTTAGGCAGCAGGGATGTAGGAGAGAGCTTCAAGCCCATTGCAGGCATTTCTTGTGTGTGGTGACATCCTGTGAAACAAACCCAGTGGTGCTGCCTTGCTTCAGCTTCTGACACCCCCAGACAGTGCGCTGGGGCACTGTCTTCAGGTCGTGCAAGTACTTCTCTCTTTTTTATGTTTCCTCTCAAGCACTTAATACTACTCCAACAAGGGAGTCTGGTGATTTGTTTAGAAGAGAGGAGGTGAGAAGATAAATTGTTGTGAAAATAGGATGTGAGGTAAGGTGCAGTGCTACTGGTGGTGAGGTTTCTCCCAGGGAAAGGGGCTGGGGGTGGGAGGTGCGAAGTTTGGTGTCTTAGGAGTGTTGCAACTGCGTTTGGTCATGGAAAACCAGTTTGAACCAGATTTATTTTTTTTATTACTTATTTTATTCATTTATTTATTTCATTTTCTGTAAAACATGAGAGGCTCTAAGTGGAGACATGTAGCAGAAGAAAGGGAAAACCAAACCCAAGTTCACACAGGACTCATGCGCTCTAGCTCTGGGCTGTTTGAGTTTGCTGGAAATGCTGGTGGTCCTTCATGACGGGAACTGGTACTTTCTTTTGAAGTAAATCAAACTGGTGCGAATGACAGCTCTTTCAGACATTTGAATGCCAAGTCCCTTGCAATCTTATGAACTTTATTTAAAGAAAACTATTAAATTTTTTTCATCCGGCTACTAGCATGATATTAAAGCTGGATACTTAATAGTTTGTGTGTTTGGGATTCCTGTCCAGTTTTCAATGTCAATTACAATTATGTTGCTTTTGAACAAGAGGTAGCCAGCAGGGAATACTGAGGAGTGCCAAATTAAATTTCAAATGCATTTTGTTCTTTGTTCATGGTGAGATTTATTTCTTCCCCAAGGTTGCTGGGCTCAGCAAAATGAGCTCAGGTTGCCTCTATACTCTCTGTAACATCAGTTTAGTTGAGTTTTTAAGACCATGTTAGTGGCTAGCACTGTTGACACCTCCTCAGAGGACTGGTGTAGCATGAATGTCATGGTCCCTAGTTGGGAAAAAAAAAAAAAAAAAAAAAAAAGAAAGCTGGGGAGACCTTGCATTTGAGCAATCTCCAGTCTACCGTCTTGGTACCCAGCTGTCTGCTAGAGATGTGTCTCTGGGAATTGGGGTGTTTGCTCATTCTTAACATATGTATTTGTTATGGCCCTGCTTTCAGTTAAACAACACCAAAATGAGACAATGCAAATTACAGCAAAGTGAAAGGGAAATATGTATGTAAACCATCGAAATCAGCCAGCTCTGAATGGCTTCTGGTGATTGGCTAATAACTGGTGCTTCACCACCACGCAAATATTTTTAATTCGTTTTTATATTTGAATATTTGCTTCCCAAATCCAGATTTTGGGTTCATTAGCATGCTATGGGTAGCTTCTAGCTGCATGTGCAAGTCCTGTTTCTGTGCCCATTCTGCATTTCAGGCAATTAGCTTAACTGATATTAGGAAGAGACACTAATTGGAGGGGAAGGAAAAGGTAGGTAGCAACATGTCAATGACAATTAAGATAATACATCACATATTGCCTATATAAGTTCTCATGAAAGAAGGTCTTTTCAGATGTCAAGTAAGCCTGATAAGGACTTGAACCCTTGCAAGGTGGACAGTGTAGCATTCCATACTTCATATGAATGGGTAAGCTGAAGCACAAAGCATATGTTTTGTTTAGTTTTACACAACAAATCACAGCCAGAGGTCAGGAAAGAAGTTCCAGGCCAGTCAGGAGCCTTGATTCTCTGGCAGGTTTCTGGAAGCTGAGCAATAATTACTGAACTTCAAGTGGCAAAACTCATCCATAACATCAGCAATGTAGATCCGGAATTTGGTACACAGGCTGGAAAATAATTGTTAAAAAGCTTTGTATTCTCTCTGGAATGAAGATCATTGCCTATTTGGCCAATGGCTAATTATGGTTGACCTGCTTGTGTCTTGTGGCCCTGAAGCAGAGCTTCCCCGAAAATGCTGTGGCAACACTTTAGATGGGGTCCCACTTTTTACAGTCTAACCAACCTTTTTTTCCTCTCTCTTGTTAATCCCCAGAATGCAACGGCAACAACAGCAACGTCGAATGTTCACAGCTGCCCTCCTGGTACTTGTTTTCATTCTGGCAGCTGTGAGTACCACCGAGGCTGGCAAAAAAGAGAAACCAGGTAAGGTCCAGTGTAATTCAGAGTTAATCCCCAAGACAGATAGCATGTGTGGGAAAATGTCAAATGCTTCTGGTTTTGTTATGAAATTCAGGTCATTCGTTAACCTTTTGACATACAGAGTAGGGATTTGTGTCTGTGACATGTTGTTCTGTGTTAAATAGAAAAAAAGAAAGTAGTTTCCATGAAAGTTGGCAGCTTGACAGCCCTGGAGGCTGGAGCCCTCAGTTTATCACAGAGTGGGTATTGCAAGGCAGCTTAAAATTTGCTCTGGAAATAGGTTCATGCTTGACTTGGGGAGAACCAAACAGGAGTGATGAAAGAGCAGTTAGCATGTCGCTCATTCAGTGTTGTATATGACAATGCTATGCCAATGCTGTGTGATGTGGAAATCCTCCGACAAAGAATTGAACTAACTCGCTGCTGCACATAGACAGCCAGACATCCAGCGGTAATTGCTTTCTGTCAGTGATGAACTCAGACCTCATTATAGGAGAGACAGGCCTGGGGTGGAAAATTCGCATCTATCAAACCCAGTTTTGACGTTTTTTAAGGAACGCATCTTTTGGTGTTTTTCATAAGGTCTTAGTATTTACAAGCCACTTACACACCAGTTAATATGACCTGTTAGTCTATCAGAATTGGTGTTTCCATTTAAAAAAGGTGTTTCTGACCATGGTGGCTGTATAGAAATAGGAGAAAATGTGAATGTAAATATACAAGGGCTAGAAGGAAGATGATTTTATGTAAGGTTATTTAAAGTTACTTGTGATGTTTTGACAGCCTAACTGTTTTTTGGAACCCTTGGGTTTGATAACATTGCTGTCTTTTCCCATCAGACTAGGGTGTAAGGATTTAAATGAAATCATGATCCTTACTTTTGTCCTTGAGCAACAAACCCACCTGTATTAACAGCATTTCAAGTACACTTCTCCATGTAGTTTTTAATTTGCCTTTTGGTCATATTCTGACATAAAATGTGACATGGTATATACCAAGTGAAAAGTTTCTATCCCACAGCTGTTTCCTGGAGGTGCTTAAATCCTCTGATACGCAACGTCAGCACATACATTTCTAATCTGTATGGTGTATAGTGCTTCCGTTGGAACTGAAAATATTTGCGTGCCATCAACTGCTGGAGACAGGGGAGTGTCCTTTCTGAGTGAGCCCTCCTGCATGTTTTGGTCAGTGATCCCTGAGGGTTTCTAGATGATTGCCCGTTCTGAAGATGAGAATCCACTTGAGAATATCTAAGTGGACTAGTAGACATGGTATTGGGACTGAATTTGAATGATCCACCCTGCTTTGGAGTCAAAGAGGCTGACCTGTCTCTGCAGAACTGTGAAGAGAATGCCAGACCTTCTGCTTTTGAAGCAATTGTTTTGCAAATGTCTTCCTTATTCACCCTTTCAGGTGCTGTGATTGTTTAGTGAAATTTAGGGAGCTTTTCCATAGGCACTGCGTACTGACCACTTCTCTTGCTTCGGTTTGGTTCCTTGCCTTCATCCAGAGAAAAAGGCGAAGAAGTCTGACTGTGGAGAATGGCAGTGGAGCGTCTGTGTGCCCACCAGTGGTGACTGTGGCCTGGGGACGCGTGAGGGCACTCGCACTGGAGCTGAGTGCAAGCAAACCACCAAGACTCAGAAGTGTAAGATTCCCTGCAACTGGAAGAAGCAATTTGGAGGTAAGCATTGCGCTCCCAAGGGATTTGCTTTGATTTCTACTTAAGTATGGAACAGAAAGCTTGTATTTTCTGCTTAGCTACTCCTATATTTCAAGTTCGTCAGAGCTAGAACACGTAAGGCATCAGAAGGCAGCTTCTTCAGAGCAAAGCAGCTCCTCTGCAGAGAGTCCATATAACCTATTTATTGTAAACTCAGTCTTCCAGCAGCATGCTGAAATCTGCTCTCCTTTGGTGTACAACCCTATTTAAGGCAGCAACGTAAGTGCCGTGTGTTCACTCACAGCTGTGAATCTCTGCGATGGTTACCACAGGCTTTACGTGACCTTGTGGTGTGTGATTTGCAGTGTGGAGCGTGGGCTACCAGTGTGTGCATTGAAAGGAGTGAATGAAGACCAGTGTATTTCATCTATATTATTCACTTCAGAAGGTTCATATGTAACAATTCAGAAAAATAGTCACATCTGCGCTGGACAGGATGTCTGTCCAGGGCTCAGATCTGATTACTCTTGCAAACTTGGCTTTTTTCTAGTAAACAGCTTGTAGGGCATTGACATCACAGTGATCTTACCAAGGCAATCAGTGCAGCAGTTTCAGACTTGACAAGTTCATAGTTCCACATACATTCTTGAAACTGTTCTAGCCTTATTTGGTAACCTTTTGCATCACACAAATGTAAGAACAGCCATATAGGAAGTGAATGACAATTTCCACTGCTATTGTTTCTTTCTTTTTTTTTTTTATTTATTTGTTGTGTATCTTCATAGTTGAATATATTTTCCTTTATATGACAACAATGCAATATCCATGCAAAAGCAAGAGGATTTTAAAATATTTGAGGGGGAAGACTGCAGTTACCACTGCAGATCATCTTTAAAGTTTTCTTGGGATTCTGTTCTTTGGTTTCATGATCCTTTTGTCTACAAGCACTGACTGTCTGTGATGTCCTATATTAGACTCATAACATTTTTGTTTTCGCGCTCAGTCATTCTTTTTTACATATTGCCATTTATTTACTCGTTGCAGCGGAGTGCAAATACCAGTTCCAGGCCTGGGGGGAATGTGACTTGAATACTGCCTTGAAGACTCGAACCGGGAACCTAAAGAGAGCCCTTCATAATGCCGACTGCCAGAAGACTGTCACAATCTCAAAGCCCTGTGGGAAGCTCACCAAACCCAAACCTCAAGGTGAATTCCATTTGCTGTGAGCTGCACATTAGTTTGTTTAAATCACTGCATTTGTGATGTCCCATGTGCTTCAGTGGGAACTCAGTAGTACAGGAGATTGTACTGTCACGACCTTTTCTCAGTTCTGCACTGCTCCTATCTCTCAGCAGTCAGGCAGACAATATTCCTGAGTTGTATAGACAAGGCAGTCTCACACACAAGAGGTAAGTTGAACACTGGAGCTCCAATTTTAACCTTAGACCACCAGTACTGCTACCAGTTTGCTGATGTGACTATACTTCCAGAGTACAGATGCTTTTCATAACTCATCTGTTGACGGGAACAGACCAATAATAGCATGCAAAAGTGTCTCTTGATAAAGACAGCGTTTATATACCGTTTGTTTGGTATCAAACAATGACTAGTTAAAAAAAGAAGGGCTTTCCTGCTGGACAGGTGTGGTGGGTTGACCCTGGCTGGATGCCAGGTGCCCACTAAAGCTGCTCTATCACTCCCGCTCCTCAGCTGGACGGGGGAGAGAAAATATAATGAAAGGCTCATGGGTTGAGATAAGGACAGGGAGATCACTTAGCAATTACTGTCGCAGGCAAAACAGACTCGACTTGGGGAAAATTAATTTAGTTTATTACCAATCCAATCAGAGTAGGGTAATGAGAAATAAAAACTCAATCTTAAAACACCTTCCCCCCACCCCTCCCTTTTTTCTTTCTTTACTCCCAAATTCTCTACCTGCTACCCCCACAGCGGCACAAGGGAATGGGGAATGGGGGTTGATGTTAGTTCATCACACATTGTTTCTGCCGCTCCTTCCTCCTCAGGGGGAGGGACTCCTCACACTCTTCCCCTGCTCCAGTGTGGGGTCCCTCCCACAGGAGACAGTTCTCCACGAACTTCTCCAACATGAGTCCTTCCATGGGGTACAGTCCTTCAGGAACAGACTGCTCCAGAGTGGGTCCCCCACGGGGTCACAAGTCCTGCCAGCAGACCTGCTCCAGTGTGGGCTTCCCATGGGGTCACAGCCTCCTTCAGGCATCTGCCTGCTCTGGCGTGGGGTCCTTCATGGTCTGCAGGGGGTAATCTGTTCCATTGTGGATCTCCATGGGGTGCAGGTGGACAGCCTGCCTCCCCATGGTCTTCACCATGGGCTGCAGGGGAATCTCTGCTCTGGCACCTGAAGTACTTCCTCCCCCTCCTTCTTCACTGACCTTGGTGTCTGCAGGGTTGTTTCTGTCACATATTCTCCCCCCTCTCTTCTGGCTGCTGTCGCACAGGGTTTTTTCCCCCTTCTTAACTATGTTATCCCAGAGGTGCTACCACCATCACTTGGCGCTACCACCACCTGCCCTTGACCAGTGGCAGGTCTGTCTTGGAGCCGGCTGGCATTGGCTCTATTGGACATAGGGGAAGCTTCTAGCAGCTTCTCACAGAAGCCACGCCTGTAGCCTCCCCACTACCAAAACCTTGCCACGCACCCCAGTATAACAGGTAGTATTGAAGGGATGTTCTGCTTACTGCATGCTGAAATATGTGGATGTTCTGCACCACTGGGGTTGTATATTCTTTATTCAAAGATAGCAGGAAGGAGAGTACAGAATGTATATATCTTATTTAAATGCAAGTGACAGCATAGTTCCTAGTACACAGAAAGGCATATGCCCTCCATTTGTGTTTCCAGGTGTCCCTTAGACAAACTTATTTTTTTTCCAATCATTAAAGCCTTTTAATGTACTCTTTTGTTGGAGTAGCAGGTGTTATGTATGTAGGGTGATTTATAGTGGGAGCTAAAACTGTGAGATCTTGTTTGAGATACAGAAGTAATGTGCTTTAAGTGGATTATACAAGCTATGCTACCCTGGCATTTGTTTGCTTAAAACCAGCTAGGTTTAACACATTCCAGGCTCTGAATACTGGGATAATTATAAAAATAAATGTGATTAGGAGTGACAGGTGCACCTGGGACGAGCAATTTTCGAATTGTGGATGGTGGTGCACCGTTGATCTGAGGAGTAGCTGCAGGTGGCCTGCTCTGCTTGTGCAACCGGCGACATGTCTGATGAGGTTGCAGACCCTTTCTGTGTGTGTGCGTGCATCCATCTGCTTTGCAGTCAGTAGAGCTGTACCTGGTCTTCCTCACGCACCGTCCACGGGGTTATCGGCTAAGTGCTGGGTCTAGAACGTGCGTAGATAATGATAAGCTGTGAAGCAGAAAGGGTACAACTAGATTTTTAGAGACCAGCTGACTTGGTTGAGTTGGCAGCGATAAACATCTTCATTTGGGGGTGGAAGTGACTGGGTGGGAATGCAGGAAGGGCTTTGAGCTGTGTGATTTTATTGTTTATTAGTTTGGGGGGGAAGGGGAGGAAGGGCTTTTTCTTTTTTGATTTTTTTTTTTTTTTAAAGTTTCCATGCCTAAGTGGCATTTGGGAATTTATTGAATGAAGCTTCCTATTGTGCTGCCAGAAGGCCACTGCCACTCGAGCCACTAGTATAGCCCTCTGCCTTGTTCTGCTCCCACTGAGTCAGTATATTCTATCAATGGCTGTGAGAAGAGGGGAGAGGGAGACAAAGCAGAGTGTTGATGCAGCATCGTTTTGTGAGAGCAGTGCTGTCGGGTGGTACGGGGTCGTTTTCAAGTTGTTAGTTTTAAAGGCAGAGCTTGTGAAATTGCTGGATTGGAATTAACGGGTTCTAGATATGAGTGAGTTATTGCTGAGACTGAAACTCAGATTGGGACTGACTGCTGCAAACATGTGGTTTGACTTAATTAGAAAACCTGACTTCATTTGATTTGAAGGAACGCAAAAGGAGAAATAGGCACAAACGTAGGTTTGTGATCACAGTAACTATGGGCAGAAATTCTGCTCTCCTGTTTTGTGTTAGAAATCTCACGGCATCTTCCTGCACGCCACCTGCTCTTTCGTCTGCTGTTGGCATTAGTAGGAGCAGCGCACATGGAAGTCGCGCACTCGCAGCCTGCCTGGGCCCTGAGCTAACAGTAAGAAATCCATATTGCAGATCTGTGGGTATAACTACATGGAAGCTACACCGGACAGTGGGTTGGCAGCAGTAAGAGGAACTAGAGTAAGAAATCAGGTCAAGCAGATGAGTACTGTGTGAAATGTTGTGCCCTACTGAACTTCATTTCTGAGTTAAAAATCTGAGTGTTGACATGTTGGCTGGAAGGAGAGTATTTGTTTTCTTCCTGAGGTGAAGGAAGTGACAGGTTGGAGGTAAGTCCCCACCCACATCTAGATAAAGGAAAAATTAAACTGCAGTCAATCTGTAGTTAGAATAGGACCCAATTTAATTCTTTGGAGATGAGAAGTAAGATCTAGAATATTGTCTGAGCACTTGGAATGGACTGTAGGTACATACTAGCCTCCCTTTTCACCTGCAGCTTCACATCAAGGGCTCAAGGCTACAAGACAAAAAGCATATGATGCAGTATTTGGAAGCAGCAATTTTCTTCTGAGGCACAGTGTTGTGTAAGGTCTGTGTTGATATGCAGCCGGACCTGTAAACGCTGATCAAGTGCCGTACGTTCCTACTGTGATTGCCTGGAGTAGCAGGGCAGTGGCTCTCTGGCATTTGGGAGCTTTGGCAGCAGAATAGTAAGTGAGGGGCATATTGATTACAGGAATCTGTTCTGCTGCTAACCCATTACCTTTCTGACTGGTGTCTGCTTCAAGAGCTGCATCACTGAATACAGCTCTGACAGCAATAGGTTGGGAGTACCAAAAGCAGATGTGAACTGACTGAGAATATTGCACTGAAAAATACCAGTATATTCAGAAAAAGGGTTGTTTTCATGATTTTCCTGACTAACCCTCTTTCCTGTGCCCTGAAATTTTTCTTCTGTTAGGTCGTGTTTGTAACCGCTCCATTACATCACTTTTCCTTTTGATTTCATGTTGTAAATGGGGTGAGTAAAAGCCTCTATTTAGCGTCATCAAACAATTGTAGTTTTATATATCTTCTGTTACTTTTTTGTCACTTGCTGAAACCTTGGACTTAAATATTTTGTTGTATAACAATTTATATCCACAATAAGAATATTCTCTACTGGATTTACCTAAATTCTATTATTGCAAAATCAATTTTGAGGTGAAGAGACTGGACTGTACACATAATTTCAAGCATGTCCTCTACAGATTTGTGTTGAAAAAGAAAATATCATTGTAACACTTCCTTTATTGTTCATTACACGCACTAAATAACCTACATCTATTTTTTCTTTTGATTACCGCTTTCATGTGGAGGAGATATCTTTATCTGAGATCTTCACTATTCTCCCTGACTCTTGTATTTTTTAAAAAAGTTAATTAATGAAGTTAGTTAAGAACCCAAGAAGGTGCGAGAGTAAGGCAGATTATTTCATCTAGGCTTGCCCAATGAAGTATTGTATATCAGATTTCACCTGACATGTTTCCTTAGTGAGGCTTGGTGTCTGAAGTTACTCCTCATTCTCTCTGTTCTTGGAGGAAAATGCAAATAAATTAATGTTATCTGTAACTGCTGCTCTCCTGTTGCTTATCCATCCTTCCAGCTCATGAACACGCAGCAACTTTGCTGATAGGATGAATCCTTTGTCTCTCTCCTCTCACGTAACTATTTCGAAGATAACTACTGTTTCATAGGAGATTGATCTATACTTAACAGAAAGGAAAATTATACCTGCAGAAAAATCCCAAGAGTCATAATTTTGCAGATTTTGCTGATAAAGGTATATTTTGGTTCTCCAGGAACCTCTATGAGCTGTGGGAAAACTTCAGCTAAATTAAACCAGCAGATGCTCATTAACCTTGGGAATCAATGCTTGCCTCATAAAGTAGTGTTCTTATGGAGTTGTTTTATCATTAGTCAGCATTCATGGAAAAGCCTAAAAATCTTTTTGAAGCACTCTCATTATTTCAGAAACTAAAAAAAAATCTGTATTTTTTTCTGTATTAGCAACTGCTCCGTTTCAGTATTTTTACTTCTGAGCAGCTGAATCTAAGTAT